TAAGGAATATTTCCATTGTTAAGGAAAGTTCTACAAGATAGCGTTGTCAAGGCATTCATTCTCTACCCTCTCATGAAAGCCCTACCTCTTTGAGGTCCATGCCATTCAGCTAAGCCACTGCTTCTCAAATTTTAAAGGGTACAAAATACAATTAGGAATCTAATTAGTATGGAGATTCCTATTTAGTAAATAGAAGTAAGGCTTGAGATTAGGCTTTTTTTTTTTTTTTTTTTTTTGCACCAGGAATTGAACCCAGGGCCACTTAACCACTGAACCACATCCCCAGCCCATTTTCATATTTTATTTTGAAATAGGGTCTCACTAAGTTGCTTAGGGACTTGCTAAATTGCTGAGGTTGGCTGTGAACTTGCAATCTGCTTGTCTCAGCCTCCCAAACTGCTGGTATTACAGGCATGTGCCACAATGCCCTGTTTGAGATTAGGCATTTTTAGTAAGCTCCCAGGGAATGTCAATTCTGCTGGTCCACAGTCTGATTGCACTCTTTAACAGAAACGAGCTATGCTATTTACTTCCTCTCCTTGTTGCTAATAATTCCCAATCACGTGACCACAGGCATCAAATTTTCATTAACACAGTCCACAATCATTTTCTCCATCTCAAATCCTGCTTTAGGTGATTTCAACTGTCCACATGGACAATCCAAGCCACACTAGCCACTCAGTTCCTTGATCTTCAGTGATGTATCCTGTCAATCACTTAATTACCATAGTCACACCCTGATACCTTACAATAATCTAAAATGGTTTTACCTCTGAAACTCCTATATTGTACTTTGTGACCAAAATGCTTGCTTTCAAAAGTATTCTTCAACCCTATCAGGACCTCCTGTCCATTGATTCCTTCTTTTTTTTTCCTATTTCTTTTCTCCACTTCTCTCCCTATCTAGCTCAGATTTCTCTCAATAAATATCCTAAATTCCCTCATTCCTTTACTTCCTCATTTGAACCCATTTGACAAAATCCCAAGTCTGAGTTAACCAGCTAACCACTTTCTATACTCAGGACCCTGAATTGTTGGAAGAAAAGTCACATGACCTAACTGTTGGGTACTGCTATTTAAATTCATGAATACCAGCCTCAACTATTAAATTTCTCTAAGCAACTTCCTCTCTTGGTAGTCAAAGTTATTCTTTTTTCTCTCCTATTTTAGACTCCTATATCTCTTCCTACATTTCTCCAGAGAAAATAGACCAGATAGGAGCCTCCTATCTTCTTCTTTCCCTCCTGTTAAAATGGAAATGACTTCATATCCCAGGCCAGTTGATTTGCTCGTATGCTGAATTCTCTTTTCTGTATCTTTCATCTCTTCCTCATAAAGGTTCACAATGGTAACCAATTAATTGTGCAATTACTTATTTAAGAACCTTTCTCAAGTAAGATTTTAAGCTTCTGGGGTGCAGAGATCCATCTAGTTTATCACATAACAGGCCTCACACACTGTGGGTGAAATAAGTATCTACCTGGGTATAATTCCAGAGGGAACTTGTACTCAGTTAACTGTCACCATTGATAGGGAACTATTTTTAATCAGAAATGCTTTCTTGCACATTTCAAGTCATTTTACAGGAAGCCTATCTAAGGCCATCACAACTACGAGGCAAATATATAGTTCCAAGGACTGGCATTTTAAAAATCTAGTGATACAGTGATAGCTCAAAACTTCATTCAAGCAGCTAAGGACATTGGGCTACAGATTAAAGAAAAAAATTGCTTCTGTTAACTCACAATCCATTTTTTTCCTGAATAATACTGATGCCATGGGTTTTAAGTATTTAATAATAAATAATATTTTACTTAAGATGGGAAAATCAAATTGCTATATTATTCTTGAATTTAATATTCCAAAAGAGCGCATATCATATAAAGCTAACATGGCAGATTAATTTACATAGCATTAATCTTATATTAAATATCAGCAGTACTGAACCACAGATGGCATATGATCAAGAAATTACCACAGGTATTGCTCTAGAGACTAGTGTAGTACAATTCTCAAAAATAGTCCCTGAAATACAATCCTATAACCCCTCTCATAAATCACAATCATAAAGTAGAACATATGTTTCCCATTAGAACAACTAGAAGTTCTGTTTCTGACAAAGCACTCAATATAAAATAAGTTTGAGGCAGATGAATGTGATAAAGCCAAAAATACAACAAAAATATACTCTGTAATTTTTAAAAATATTAAATTACATTTCAAATTCTACAGTTATGAGTATAAGCACACTTTATATGCCTATGATACAAGAAGTCCTGGTATTCTACAGAAGTATACATTAAATCCCAAATTCAAATCAACTGTATCATGAGTTTGAAATTATAGTGATCCTTCCAGTTACATTAAAATAAATTTTCTTGAAAAAATTAAAATTAGATCTCTCTCACTAATAAGTTTGACAGAGCAAAAAGGTGGTCAAAATTATTCTACGTACTTTATATAGTCTGCAGTGATTTTTCTCTACCACTAGATGGTACTATCAGCTTCAGAAATCTAGAGAATAAAATGGGAGCTGGCTATATTAATCAGGATATATTAATCATCCTTCTTAAATATCTCAAATATCCTGTCCCAGTATGCTCATATATAAGTCATGAGTCTCGATCCTCAGATGTTAACATATATGGCCACTGAAAACTCAAGAGTATTGAATAAATACACTTAAAATCTGAAGTAATAAAAGGTGGGAAGACTTGCTTATAACTTTTTTTTAAATGGTGCTGGGGATGGAACCCAGGGCCTTGTGCATGCTAAACAAGTACTCTACCACTAAGCTACACCCCCAGCACCTACTTGTAACCATTCACAAAAGATTTTTGGATTCAATTCTAGAATTAAGTGAAGAAAAAAAACAGAAGGAAAGAACTATGAAGGGTTTTTTTAAAGTCACACTTTATGGTCTTAAAAGCATTTTGTCCTTATTATTTATCCAGTCTGTTTACCTAAGAGTAATTTTTGCCAGACTACTTTTTAAATTTTTTTTTATTTTTAAATTATTATTTTAATTGTACATATTGATTGGGTTCAGTATAACCTGATACATGTACATCATGATCAAATCAGGGAAATTAGCATTTCTATCATATTAAACATTTCTTTTTTTTTAATTTTATTTTTTTTATTGGTTGTTCACAACATCACAAAGCTCTTGACATATCATAT